ATTCCTCTCCCGTTCGTAACACCCCCGGTCGGTAAAAACAGCAGACGGTAGCGGTCCGCTGCTGCCGTGCCAAACTAGCGTCACATTGAGTGGCGCCGCGCCGAATCTGCCACGCGGCGCCGCCGCACGCCTCACGGACGGGTACGACCTCACAGAGACGGTGCATTGACTTTACTCTGACTGACCGGTGGGCGCGTGCATACCGATATATTGGAGTCTTTCTCTAGCAAATACTGTTTCATGAAGTTCTACTTATGAAATAGGATGAACTCAGGCTATGAGTCCTCGAAATGATTTGGAATATCTTGTAAGTGTATTTAGGAAATCCATTGAACGTAGATGTTATGCAACAGATTCCATTAGTCTAAGTCCCAGTGAAGGGTGGCACGTAGTTTCTGCAGTGAATTTCACCCCCAGTTGCCCAGTCTAATGACATTGCACAGTGCACTGACCCCCTGTACGTTGGTGCAGGTTCGACCCCAGTTCTCGGGTCTAACAGCCCGTCATGATAACCCCGGCTGTGTGCGGCGGTGAGGGTTTTCGCCCCACTCGCCGGGTCTAACGACCTCAGTAAGAGACCACCTCCCGGACCAACAGCTGCGAGACGGTCGCGCGCTGGCGCCGGCGCAACAATTACCCAACAATTACTCACACACGCTGCACTAATTGCTCAGCAATGGCTCATCAGCTGGCCATCAGTTACTCTAACAGTTGCCCATATCACTTGCAAAAGTAGTTTGCCAAGTTTGGGACTTCCGACACTTCAGTGTTTAACGTGGCTCGAACGCTCCTGATTCGTCCATGGCTTTAACCTACAATTCCAGCTCATAACGGTTCTCTCCCCTCCCTAGGGTACTTCACCCGAACGTACTCCTTTCCGTCTCCCCCTCTGCAGCTGTTCCTCCCTCTGGCAGGCCCCAGGTATCAGTCCGCCCACCCAACCACCCCCATGACACCCTCCATCCCTCCCCCGCCCCACACCAGATGTCCAACATTGAACAACCACCCGAACCCAGCCTCTGAGCCGAGCCGGGCTCCATTCGTGGCAGCGCGCTATTAGCTTCCCTAACCACCTCCCAGCCGGTGATCTGGCTCTAACAGCCTCCCGGGCCCTGCCCTGCCCGCCTAACCGGCCATAGGCGCACCGCATCCTTTGTCTTCACCGCCGCCGCCAGCGGAACATTAATCCAATTTATCGATACTGCAGATATATCAAGAACACCTAGGTGTTCGCCCGGGGGTAAGTCTGGTGGACGGTAAGGAGTGCGCGCAGGAGTGCAGTCTGCCGCAGAGTGGAAGACGCCGCCGCCAGCCGCGCGCGCGGCTGGTCGGAGCCCGAATTTATCGCCGCGGAAGGGTATTAGTGTCTGGGGATCAAATTAGGATTCATTACCGGGTTTTATGGGCGCCGTAGCTCGGGGGAGGCGGTTCGGCGGAGGCGGCCGGCTCTCCGGCCGGGGTAGCCGCGGGTGTCGTCCCAGCCCGCTCATGGAACCGAACCCTGATCGGTATCAGACCAGTGGGTAATCCGCCACATTGGGATGTCTCTGTTCTCCCCGCTGTGGCGCAGGGCCCGGCAAATGGTCCTGTAGGATCCCGACCGATCCCAGAACAGTGTCGTAAACCGGCCAGCCGATGGTCCGAACCAAAATCCGACCACCAATCAGAGTCGGGTCAGCGACCCTGCAGGGCGGCGGCCGGTCAAACGGTCTCCTCAGAGAGTATGACATAGTGGGGCCATACGGAACCGCGGGGTTTGGTTTACAGGGGCAGCGGGACCCTGGCGGCGCAATCGAGCGGAACGGCGCCCAGGGAGGTGCTATGGGTGATTCATGTCTCACCCTGTGAAATCACCAAACGGCCTCCATTTCTCACACAGATATTGGCCTCTAGACGTGGACTGCAATTCAACACTGACCTATAGCATTGCAGGTCTTGTTCTTCTCACTCAGCTTCAAAATCAAACGCATGATGCATGGAACACTAAGCACGAGACAAAGCAAGTCAACGTTGAAAAATCTGCGCATTTTTCGTTCAAATTTAGTTTTAAATTGTAACACTTTTTGTGTATTTTCTTTGGTTGAATGCTTTTGGCTCGTGCAGTGTTAGCCACACATCTTGCAACAAATATTCAAGCAATTTTCCACCCAAGACTACCTTCTTACAACAGCCCCCAACCACCGCGCCCAGCTCTGATTATCCCGTCGCTGACCTCCTGGAGTTCTATTTGGTCTCCCGCCGGCAGCGTCAGGTAGCGATCAGCCGACGAGCCGCGCGCGCAGAGCGCACGTCGCCCGACCCCGCCCCCCACTCGGCGCCGCGCATATCATCGCCCAGAATCACCGGCATCGTTCATCAGTGCTGGAGGATCGTCGAGACAGGCAGCCACGTGCCGAGGGAGCGATGGAGAGGGAAGAAGGAGAACGAGGGTGGAGACCAGGGCGGGGAGAAGGAGGGGTGAGTTGATAGGAAGGAGAAAGGTGAGCTAAATAGGGAGCAAAGGTGAGGCGATGGACAGTGGAAAAAATAGGGTTGGAAGAAAAAACGTAAAGAGAAAGGGGATAAAAGCGATATAGATGGGTACAGGTAATGATAATGAAGCTAGGATTTTGGGGAAATTTAGAAGGGAGAATGCATAAATGCAAAAGAGGTCCATACTATGGGAGGCGTAGGTCCGATAATAGAAAAATGGTTTCTAGACTACGTCATAATCGGCGGAACGTCAGTTTTCAATTATTCATTGCCCTCCGCTCATTTCAGTAATTTGAGTAATTCATTTGTCTCGAGTAATCGGTACATCTTGAATATGCTTTGGAACACTTAACGGCCACGACTGGCCCGCTTTAATTGTTCACTAGCAGCAGAGTCGCGCCTAAATCAGCGGCTATCTAACCGTGCATCTGCTCCGCGGACCGTCAGCGTTCACTAATAGTGAGCCACTCCACTAAACACGATTCAAGACATACCCCGACCGGGACCCCACGCCGCGCCTCGGAACAGCGACGTATCTGGCGCACCAACGCGCCAGAAGCGGCGTATCCGGCGCGGCAGTGAACGGCGCGCCCGGATTCCTGGGCTGCCGACAGCGCCACAATTGTCGCCACAGTCCAACCGCGCCGTTTGTGACGCATTCCGGGCCAGCGCCCGAGCGGCACAGCACAAACATGACGCGCCGCGGCGACGGTGGCGCGGCGTAGGCGACAAAAGCGGCGCAGTGATGGATACGGGAGCGGAAGACTCAGAACGCTATCCTCCAAATACACACCGACTTATGTCAACAAGGTGACAGCATCAATCACCCAACGAACATATCAGCCAAGCGGTATTTGACAAGTGTGACAAATTTGATAATCGAGAGATGTGTGCGTGAGAGCGCACACAAACCCCGAGCGTCTGGTTTGGCGGTGATTGAGTCGCTAAGGGAAGCAGCGGGGCGCGGCCGGGGGCAGATCTCTGACATACGAGGACCGCCTCCCTCAAGGTCAGCTGAGGCCAGCGATCGAGGTCACTGACCTTAGAGAGGGAGCTCCCGCGGTCTAATAAAAATTAAACGGTCTTATAAACGGAACAAGGCACGGAGACAAGGCGATTAAATATGAATTGTTTACATGTTATATGAATTCAAGTGTAGGTACTGTCGAGAATGCTAGAAAGTGATATCTAGCATTCATATAGTGATATAGTGATATCTAGCATATAGTGATATATAGCATAGTGATATATAGTGATATAGTTTTTGAACCCTTGCAATAGACAGTAGCGAATGCAACAATGTCCTAAAACGTGTTCGCTGTCTTTCAACACAGTAAAGTCGTCTCCCTGAGTAGCACGAGATTCCAGAAGCACGACGATGCCTGCATTTTATCGTGGCAGCGTGCGCCTCGTGTCAAACCGCTCCCGATGTGAGGATTTACGGCGGCGGCGGACATTCAGTCGTGATTCGGTTGAGGTGGGTCAGTTGAGTGGCTGAGAGGTGCGCAAAGCTGCATACAGGAGGTGTCCCGCAGCAAAGGTGCTCCTACTAAAACCGGGATATCCTCCCCCAAAGGAGCTCCACTATAAGATATGGACCAAGTGAACACTGAATAAATTGCATAGACTCGGCTGTATGCAATGTCGACTCACCTAAGCTCTACTGCTTTACTACAATCGTTTTCTCCCTAAACAGCTAAAAATTATGTAAGTGAAAAGCGGTACCCTCCTCCCCTGTCTGTTTTGTCGAGCCAACTCCAGCTTTCCCCTATACCCTCCCCTCTCCTGACCGACACCCATCCCATGACTGTTCGTCCCCCTCCCGGCCCCACCCCTCCACGGAAACTGCCACGCCCCTGGGGCCTGCGCTGCGCTGAACCGGGCGGCCAGTTCCAACTAATGGCGCGCCAAATTGTGGATATGAGCGGGAAACAGGGGCGGTGGTGGCGGGTGGGAGGGAGGTCCGCGGGAGGGGGACAGGAGGGGCGGGAAGGCGAGCGAGGGTGACGGGCAGGAGCGGAGAGAGGCAGAGAAAGGGAGAGAGAGGGAGAGAGAGAGTGTGAGAGAGAGAGAGAGAGAGAGAGAGAGAGAGAGAGAGAGAGAGAGAGAGAGAGAGAGAGAGAGGGAGGGAGAGAGATTAGAGAGGGAACAGAAAAGGATCCGCCAAATCTAAAATAGCTTCTCCTAATATAATTCCTCCCCGGAGAAGCCACAGAGTCCATCCCGCTACCACTAATATACACTTTAAATGCATGGCCCGCGCTTCGTATCTGATAGTGTGGAGCTGTTGTGGGAAATGGACAAAATCTGGAGACCAGCCCATAAAATGGTAATGCACCGGGCACCGTTGTCACTGGGCTGATTATCAAGTCCCTAAATGGACAACAGGAGTCTGATTAATTCAGTGTAGTCTATAAGACACAAAAAAGTCACAAAACGAAGCACTTTGATAGAATGCGGAGTGAAAGATGGTAGAAAAATAGCAAAAGAGAATCCAAAGCCAGAGGAACCAGTGCGATAACACTCACGTTTACGCTTGGAGGACTCCTCGCTCATCTGCATAAACTGCTGCTGCTGCTGCTGCTGCTGCTGCTGCTCATGCTGTTGCTGCTGATGATGCTGTTGTTGCTGCTGAGAGGCGTTCATATCCATGACGATCATGGGGTTTTGTGTCGGCGCCGGTGATTGGTCGTAGTCGCTGTAAAAGTCCTCCTGATTGGACGACAGCGTGGCGCCCGGAGAGTTCTCGGACTGCACGGTGGGGGCCAGGGTTGCCAGCTTAGACTGAAACACACAGAGAAAAACAGAGGGAATTGTAAATGACAGAATAATCAGATGTAGAAGTGGGGAGGAAAACTGCTATCCAAATTATATTTAATTCATTTAACGCAATCACTTAAAATAAAGAAGATCACAAGCCATAGAGTCCACAGTCAGTTTATTTTTATCAAAAAGGTTCATAAATTGCATTTTTATTATATCGACTGAATCAAAATTCCGAAATGAATTAGATGACAGCATCCACTCACGGCTGAAAGCAGCTCAAAGCAGGCACAACCATGCAAATATCCCGTTTGGCACCACCCAGAACATTGCCCGGGCGGCCAGTAACGAACGAGGTATCATGTTCAAATAAAGTCAGACGAGCTCCGCCGAAGCAGCGGCACTGAGTCTCATTAACACCAGGCCGGCTCCCTTTGATCCGCGTTGCTCCGCCTCATGAGCGTATTAAAATAAGCGCCCTTCTGTCACCGAACAGAGGCCTCCCTATCATTTGGACACATACATTGCAGTCGGCTAAATAGCGGCTGCGATAGAGAACAAATGAGAAAGCTTAGCCGTCTCGAAAAGACACAGGTGCGGTCTTGGGGTGCGATGTGGTATAGTAAATCGTTCTGACGCCGGCGCTGCATTGTTCTGTTACTTGCCACAGCTGTTGTGAAATTAATGGAATGAATGGAAACATTCATATAAGTTTGCTTATTTACAAGGGTTGAGCTGTAGCAAGTAAACGATAGCAGTTCAAAACAAGCGCTAGGTGCTACGCTCGCATTCATGTCTCAGAGTACGATGTCGTCCTGTGCCGCAATGAAGTCCCCAAACGTCTTCCACATGTTACTTTTCTACCCCGCAATGCAGTCACCGGCCGCCTTAGGTGTCTGTGTGCTACTGTCTTATCCCGCAATGCAGTCACCAGCTGTCTTGGTGTTAGCGTCTTGTGCGAGACTGCAGTTCCCGGCGAGTCTGGGGTTAGCTTTCTGTTCGAAACTGCAGTCTCCAAGTGAATCGTCCATTCATTCATTCATTCATCCATTGAAATGGACACAGTCGTCAGCCAGAAACTAACGCATTCCAGCGCATAAGTCTCGCGCTGAGTATCCAACGGGCACTTTCGATCCAGAAGATCACACCAACGTGCGACAGAGCCGACGCCAGAAAATAAATGTCGCCTCGAACTGACGCGTCTCGGAAAGAAGCGGCCGCAGCCGCCGCTTCCACTAACTCGGCACCAGATGGCGGACGAGAGGCGCGTTACGTCACGGACAGAACACGCGACAACGCACGCGCCGTGCGCCAAGACGCGCACGCACCGCTGTGAAACTGCGTTAATCTACAACAGTCAGCGGGTGTTCGAGAAACAACCCATAATGGTTTACACGAGAACAATAAATGTAATGGAAGTGTATGAGGCTGTGGGTGTATTTAAGTGCCGAGTTACATGGATTAACATCGGCATTAAAACTGGATTATGCTCTAGTTTTTAATGTTGCTGTTAATCAAAGGTTATTATCACAGATGTGCGCATTGTAATTATGATTAGTAGTAAATCGAGCAGAGTCATGCTGAAATGGTTTTTGATATTGAGCAGGGTCGGTAGCAAAGTATCGCTACACCATTTATTACGACATAAAATCACGGTCAGATATTATAAACCGCACTTGATCCGCCTTCGGGTAATTCCATGGATAAAATAAATTTGTCTCACCTAGCTTTGATCTTAGCCACTATCCAGCATTTACACACTTAGGAACAAACTACTTTGCAACCAAAATTGATATTTTTCAAAGCATCACGCGTCTTTGGAGTCCCTTTACCGGCCTCAATTTGAGCTACATAGTACGCCAAGTCTCCACGACAGACGGCCGGCGCCATGTGTTCAGCAGAGCCGTTGAAACGGCAGGTGAAGATGACAGGAACTGACTCCAGGGGGCCACCGGGGGAGGGGGGGGGGGCAGGTGCGGGGGCGGGCGGACGGGCAGGTGGACCGCCGCCGCGGGCGCCTCTGACACGCGCCCAGCAGTCGGCAAACAGCCACTTGAGCGGCGGAAGCGTACCGGAAAATAGCCCGCCGGTGAAAGGGGAGCAGCGGCAGCGCCAGGCCAGAGGCGAGGTCAGAGAGGAGATCGGAGGGGACGCGCACGCAAACTGTGAACCTTGTTTTGGAGCAATTATTTCTGTAGATGTTACTTCCTACAAGGTTTCTCAAACTTCTGAAAAGAATCGGTTTCGGCCATACTTCAAACTACTTGACAAAAACACCCATCCCATTCACCCGTCCGCCTCCCAACATCCTCCACCTGGAGGCGCCTCTGGCACTGTCTCACGCACCCCGTCTGTCAACAGCATAACAAACGATTACTGCAGCGGTGGCCGCGGCGCCGTCTGCCGCTGTGTATGTGTGTGTGTGTGTCGCAGGCGTCCCGCCGAACTTCTGAGGACCTCCGGACGATGGGAGGCCGCGGTCAGCAGCGCGTGACGCCCCAGGGAAATCAGGCCAGTCTCCGGCGCACGCGGGCCGCTCTGAAGGGTTGGCGGTGTCTGAAGTGGGGAGCCACGCGCCGGGCAGACCACCGCCGGATGTGGGCGGCACGGGCGGAGTCAGGTGTGCAGACACGGGGGTGCAGGGAGAGGTGCCAGATAAGACTACACAATAATTCGCCCCACTTTCTCAGTGCTACTGTCTAAGAATATCCCTTATAACAAGGTTTCAAAATAAACGTTAGAATGAGCATCGCTGAGCTAGATAGCGCTCAGTGAGTCAATGCCATGGAATTCATTGCAGACCCGTTTGTTTGTTGGTTTGCAAACACCGATGCAGCAATGTTCGACACATCGTGTTTCACCAATGTGATTGGAATGCGCCGGGCGCCGCCGTTCCACATTGTTTATCAGTATAACGTGTTATGATTCGCTACAATACATTGCGACACTAATATCGTCAGTTGAAGTACCGAGTGGCCGGATGAATGTAAACGGCCATCATCAGAGGCAGTAGCTATGAGCCAGCTCGACAGCAATGGTTATTATAAACCACATTAAGCATGGTTTTCATCATTCTTGGACACATAAGTTGTTGGTATCGTCTACTGGGAGGAGACTCTCTAAATACGGTAACACTACCGCAAGTTTATCCTCTTGTTGTGCCTCGCGCTATTTTTAGAAGTGCCTTTACACGTTATGCCATCGTCACCGTGCCTCTGTTGTCTCAATAGCTGGCTTTATGGGCGGAAAATTGCGCACTTTCGCCCATCATCTCGCACCGGGGGCCTGACGCGCCGTCTCCGCAGATGTCTGGACGGTTTAACGCGGTCCCCGTCAGCCATAAAGCAGACAGCGCCATCTGTCGGCCGCAGAAGACCACGCCTGCCAATCAGGAACTTTTAAAAATGGTCCACGCAATAGGGTGGACATTACTGGAGTGCTGTGACATGATGGCAACACGGCGAGATGTCGTCACCTAAATGCAGAAAATTTAGCGGCACGAGGCGGGTATTCCCGAGTCTGCCGAGCCACGGGGAGCCAAAACGGCGCGCCAATTTTGCCGCGGTAATGGGGGCAGCTGGCGCACTTTGCGGCCTTCTAGAGCGGCCGTAAGCAGCCCGTGTGGCAATCACCGGGAGCATTTACGAGGCCACGAGACAAGTGTTTTATGCGGCCTGTTGGCTGCTTAGTTTGGCGATGATTAACGACCTCTGGGTGCTGGGAAACCGGAAAGCCGGTCAGCAGATGCCGCAGAGAATTGGTCGGCGCCTGGCTAATTTATCGTTATAGATATTTATCACGAATGGTAATAAAATCACTTAAATGGATAGTCATACCCTCAGCTCCAGAGAAGACCACCGGAGCGCACACGTCACATGCTGCTATTCCGATTTTGCAAATGTAATCAAATGTCAAACATAAGCGAGATAACCAATCAGAAACGACATCAACCATTTAACGCCGTCACGCCCTGTTGAGACGCATCTTCTCAGAGGAGTATCCTTGGCGACTGGTTACCAAGGCAACCGTTCCCTAACGAGCTCGGTCGGCCGTCAACTGCATCAACATAAATCGCTGAACAGTTCGCTGGGAGCAGATGGGTTGCCAGATGCGCAGTAGCGGCCACTAAGCTCTTTGACTGGCAACCGAGGTCATATTGCTGACAGCGGCGCGGAAAAGGTACCACACCTGCTGCGCTATACATGTAAAGGAATACGCAAACTAAATCTATATACTGAGCTGCTCACCCCGAGGTGGTAAGCTTCTCAGCTCACCGAGATGAGAAACTGAACGCTCTATATACTATTATGTGTCGCAACCCAGTTTGAACAGCTCCGGCAAACAGTGATAGCCCACAACTCCGATTTCATGCTTCATGTCTGTCACATGTTGTCATGCGTTACCTAACCTAAACGTGCTATCAATATGTGTCACCTCAAACATCCGTATGTGTCAATCTGAGAATGCACCATCATTTCTTAGCGTCACCAATAACATATACCATAATCCATGGCAGCGCACCACCTCTATCCCACGAAGACACATTCGGTGTCATGTCCGAAGCACCCTAACCTTCTGACCAGCTCTGCGTGGAATCGACCGATCCATCTTCCTCGACTATCAGTCCGCAGTGAGATGATGGTCACGCCGGTTTGGGGCGACCCAGACATCCAGACATGCACGCAGTCGACCGAGCGTCAGCGCGTACATATGCTCCCCGATACGGCGAACAGGGGATGATGGATTCGTGTTTGTTTCGAACACAGAGATCGGTAAAGCCCGCCTGGGAAAAATTCAGCGGTTTATGCAACACAGGTATGTCATTGTTTGAGGAGGTCGGGTGCTACGTCATGCTTATTTGAACATATCGCCCGAGCCCACACACCATAGGGAATACGCTGGAATGATGGATCTTTTCACCGGGTTTGTTCAACCAACAAAATTCACGGATAACGGAGAGGATTTATCAAACACGATCTGGGAAATGATATAAAGATTATCATAAAGGCCTCGAGCGGGTT